CATGACTTCAGCACGATCCATTGTAGACTTGATACAGTTTTTGAGGTAGAGCATAAGTAAGTACGATACAGGTTATAATAATTCTAGATCCGAACTTTTGAAAATCTACTAAGGCTATTGTTTATCTACCCATTAATAATACTTTAGCCTTTACTTTAAGGAGACCTCTAAAACTATTCAAGGACATTATAAAAATAACGATAGATTTTTTAATTTTAAACATCATTTATTTATTTTTATTATGTTATTTCGTGTTATATTTACAAATGAAACCATAGCAAACACAATCATTCATCAGAATTAGAGTCTAAATATTCAATGCCTTCAAATTCAACGGGCTCATCATCTATATTACTATCATCGCTGTCAGATTCTTGTAAGTATATTATAAATGGAATAGCATCATCCAGTAACCTGTCTTTTATTTTGTGCTCCTCTTCTAACCGTTTCACATGTCCAGCATATTTTTTTCCAATCATCCGCTGTGACTGATGCAAATACTTCTTCAATTTTTTTTATCATTTCTTCCGGAGTGCTTTTAACATTTTTTTCAGTAATTTTTCTTTTTACTTGGGGTTTAAGTGGCAATGATACGGTGGCAATATCAAAACTTCGTGGCCGTGTTCTTTTAACAATTCATCTATGAAGTTTATTGGATCAGGTTTGTTCCTTTTCACCAAACAAAGCAGTTCTATTTTTGTGAACTCGTCTGACCATGTAATATTATTACTAGTCAGCCAGTCTCTAATTTCTTGCTTTCTTGAATTGGTATTTGGTGGCCTATTTATTTGTATACTATGGTAGCTAGCATTGTCGCAAACAATAATACTCGGTGACTCAAGATTGGGCAGTAATTTTTCAGACACCCATTTTGTGAAATTTTCAGCATTCATGTCATCATGGTAATCTGTCTTCGATTTTGTACTAAACACAAGTAACGCATTATTTACAAACCCGTTTTCTGTCCCAGCATGAACTATAATAAACCGTTTGCCTTTTCAGATGTTCTCCACCATTTTGGAGGTCCTTGCCAACTTTTTTTGGGTTTGTGTACTAAGTATCGGGAATTTGTCAATAAAACAAAAAATACAAATTATTCATCTAAATTTATTTTATCGCCTTCAAAGTAGGCCCCATCGCTTGCAATACAACATCTCCACCGCTTCACCCAGTCTTCCATACATTTTTCATAGGCTATTTGCGGTATGGCCTTTAGCTCATTCAGCGAATTTTCTTTTATGGCTTCTATCGACTCAAAACGTTTTCCTCGACGTGGTAATTTTAACTTGGGAAATAAAAAAAAGTCAGACGGAGCCATATCAGGTGAATACGGTGCTTGGGTCGAGAACTTTTGTTGAATTTTTCGCTAAAAACTCTTTCACTATAATGGCTGTGTGTGATGGTGCATTATCATGGTGCAGCATCCATGAGTTGTGTTGCCACAAATCTGGACGTTTTCGGCGGATACTCTCACGCAAACGCTTCATGACGCCTAAATAATATTCTTTATTCACTGTTTCTCCCTCTGGAAGGAATTCGCAGTGAACCACACCACGGTAGTAAAAAAAACTGTCAGCATCACCTTGATTTTGGAGCGACTTTGCCGCGGTTTTTTTGGTTTCGTCTCGTTTTCGAGACGCCATTCTGAAGACTGTTGGCTTGTTTGCATGTCGTACTCATAAACCCATGTCTCGTCGCCAGTTATTATACGTTTCATAAAGGTCGGATCCGTAGAAGCTCGGGAAACCATGTCTTCAGCGACATGCTTTCGCTGCGCTTTTTGAACAAAATTAAGCTCTTTTGGAACTAGTCGAGCGGCGACGCGTTTCATGCCTAAATTGTCAATGAGAATGTTGTGGACGGACTTAAAAGATATGTTCACTTCACTAGCCAACTCTCTCAGACTCATACGTCGATTTTCGAGCACTAGCTTCTTGATTCTGTCGATGTTTTCTTTGGTCGTAGCGGTTGAAGGTCTACCAGAACGAGGCAAGTCTACTACTACTTCTCGGCCTTCTTTAAAAGCCTTATACCATTCATAAGCCCTTGTTTTCGATATACACGATTCGCCGTAGGTATTTCGCAACATTTTTAGTGATTCACCACAAGAAATATCATTCGAAACACAAAATTTAAGGCACACTCTTTGTTCAACAATATTTTCCATTGTAAAAATCGCCGAGGACTCAAAACTATCACCAACAAAAAGTGTAGTTTAAAACAAATTAAATGACAGATCCCGCTCAAATTTTGCGAACAAAATTCTTCTTATGTATCTATGCCTAAATGTTGCATGCATGTTTTTCCATAAGGACTGTCCGTTCTTCAGGATTTTTTTTAAATTCAAAACCCATGTTTAATAATATTTTGCGTAAGGTTTCCCTGCAGCCAGTAAAATCAATTGACTGCCTCAATTCAAGTAGTAATTTCCGCAGGGTAGGCACTTCCTTTCGGGTCAAATAATACTGATTTATTGTATTTCGTATGGCCCATTGGTCAAAATTGACAATATTAACTTTCGTTGCCCGTGCTGCACACTGTTCGCCAGGAGTCCTCCAGATTCCTTGATTATTTTGGCCCTCATTTTAATCACTCTTAAAGTTCGTTCGCTGACTCCTGTATAAATAAATATAAATCATTTATAAAATTTAATATGAACTTGTATTGAATGCAATATGTTTTGGATGTACGTTGTACCTACTTACATAATCCAACGAAAATTGTAGAAAATAAATACGTGAGTAACAGATCCTTACCAGTCATTGAAGCGATCTTTTTTATATACTGGTTCTCACTATTAATGGTAAGTTCTTCAAGAGCCTTTAGCTTCTGTAGGGTAACTTGAAGATGAGGTTTTAATTCATCACTTATACTACCTGGAATGACTAAAAATAAATGCTTGTTAAGAGTTAACTGTCTATAATTTATGTAATAGTGACATAAGACCTATAAAAGTAATGTCAAAATCCTATCTGCAGGAAGCAAATCTATAGATAGATACGTTATTGAAATTGGACGTTAATTTGACACGAGCTTCTTGTCAGCATCATGAACAGGCTGTGAGTATTCGAAAAAAATGTTCTTAGATACATCTAATGGTAAAAAAAACGGCGAAGTATCAAAATCAGTAGATATACGTACACGTCACCTTTTCGATATCTTGTAAACATAGTCGTTTTTGGCTAAGGACGACATCATGCTGTTCCTTCATATCTTGGAATTTACTTATCATGTTATATAATAACTCGCGCACTCCACTTTTAATAGGTTTAACCATTTTTCTTTTAAATAAATACAAAACAACAAACAGCGTAAGCAATCTGACAGCTCACGTACCACGAAAGTGACATCAGAAAAGTATACCATATAAAAAACTTTTTGGGGTTGCCCATATATTCCATTACAGAGTTAGCGTGGCCAGGACTCTAGGAGAAAATATCATATTTACAACTTTACTATTTTTGTACTAGACTTTGTAAGTACTAGACTTAAAGGTTACTGTTATGTCTGGCACCACACAATTGCAAAACGAGGAGCAATAGAAATCGGAAGCTGCCTGTGGCAATTTTTCTTAAGTGAGAAGGAAAGAGGTATTAAAAACATTTCTTTTTATTCAGATGGTTGTGCAGGACAAAACAAAAACAGATTTATATTTGCTTTATACATTTTTGCTGCTCAGAAACTTCAAATAAATATAACACATAGATTTTTCGAAACAAGCTATGGCCAGAGTGAAGGCGATTCCATGCCCTCTAGCATTGAACGTGAATTAAAACACAGGGTCGTATATACACCCGAACAGATATATGCAATAATTATGAATGCTAAAATCAACGGCGAGAAATATATTGTGAAGGAAATGTTACAAAATGAGTTCTTTGACACAAAGGATTTGATAAAAAACAAGAACTGGGCCAATAATGAAGAAGGTCAGAAAATAATGTGGTCTAAGGTAATGGAAGTAAGTGTTTTACATTCACAGCCATCTATTCTACGCTTTAAATATGATTTTGATGCTGAGTATTCTCAATTTAATGTCGAACAGTGTCAAAGACGACAAGCTAGAAGCAAGAGAGGTAAGAAACAGACATCTCTATTACACCAGGTTCTGTCAGTGATTTTCAGTTGAAAGTCGCTTATAGGGAACCTTTGCCACTAAGTAAGGCTTTACACGAAGACCTTATGAGCTTGTGTAGATCAGAAGCGATCCCAGTTTTCTACCATGCTTTCTACGAATCTCTGACTTATGACAGTAGTAATTCTGAAGGCCATTGATTTGAAGATAATAAAGATCAGGACGACTAATTTCTTTTGTAATCTTACTTGTCCATTAAAAATTCTGATTACCATAACTTTCTTTTATATGCTTAACCAGAAAAATAGCCCTTAGTTTTATTGTCTCATGATTGATATCCCGTATGAACGAGAATAAAATGGTAAGATACTATATTTTGCCATAGTTTTGCGCTGTCAAATAATTGAATTTCATTGTAATAGGATATTACTATATTCAATTTATAATAAAATGACGAGAATAAAATGGTAAGTGTGTAATATCTTTTTACTAACTTCTTAATTTTTTAATATCTTGAATTTGATTAATCCAGTTAAAGGCTTGTTAAAATAGTTTAAAAGCTTCAAAAATTAGCTTTCATGAATCCTTTTTGGATTATCTACATTTATTATCAGATAAGTTATAAACAAAAACATTTTATTCTCCGGGGCCGGCAAGTTAATGGCAATCTAATAAATATCTATATTCCCAAAAAATATTAAAAAATATCTTTATTACTAAATTAATGCGTATCTCGAAAAATTTTGTGCAATGAACAAAAAGGCTTCCCACAAAATAAAACCATAAATATGGCTATCTATGAATTTATTGAGAATGTCATAACTCATAACTCAAATTGATAAAAAAAACGCCTTCTTGTGCAATTTACTGTGATGTCACAAGCGTTTGACTACATTGATCATGGTAAGTATACTATTCAGTAAACTCAAAGTTTGCTGCCACCGCCGCTACTCGTCGTTGTGGGTTTGAAATTATCGTCATCAAAATCGTCATCTGTCGTCGGCCTAATATCAGTCAGTGACGAATCGCTTGTTGTATCTTTCTGTAAAATCAAATGTGCGATTAATTTCGTTAGAAACATCATCAGAAATCTTAACAAAGCAACCCTATCAGAATGATTTAAACATTTAGTGCAACTTGCAACCCTATTTTATGTTATTGTATTCAAACATACATAGATCGTAGTTTCTGTCTCTTGTGACAAAAACTCGTTTAAGCCTCTTATTTCTAGATGGTGTCAACACTGATTTAGAAGATGGCGCTACGCCCCTTTTTTCATGGATTGCCAACAAATGATACACATAATTGAACATCAAAAACATCACGGACAAACAGACAGACACGGGGAAGCAAAAATAAACAAAATCAATACAAAAGAGACTTTCTTACACGAGATTATTTACATTACATTAATAATTTTATTTCGGTACTGTTTTTCTAATAAAAAAAAAAAGATCATAATTCACAACATATTAATTATTTATTTATTAATAAGTACTACCACATCATACATATTATTCTTATAACTAGTTTTGACAATACGTGGCATTATACCTGATATGTATGACATACATATCATAATTCCGCGGCATGATTTCATCTGGATTTTGAAGGATATCATCAGCCCAAATCGCTCCTGGTATTGGGCAATTCTCATGAAAGCGGCGTCGAACGCCCGCAGATGAGTTGGGGTTGGATAGGTATTCAACAGTTCTCCTTAGAGTACTAAGAAGAATATTCTCTGGTCTTGGTATTATGACACCATGTCTGTCGATTGGGTCAGATGCAACAGCAGGGACATAAATCTTATCCTCATACTTCACGTATCCAACAGCATTTATGATTCTTCGAATCGGCTCAGGTACAATAGTGACACTTTGCGCTGCTCGTAACATATCACTAGTTACACCAGGTTGCTTGATGTGCTCGGTGAGTCTTGGAACTACTGGAAGGTCAGCCTTTATAGACTCAAGCTTCGCCTCGAGCAAACCGAGAAATACTCGGTACATGGCATACATACTGGGGACTCTGATATTTTCATGATAAGAAATTGATATAAATGTCAAGTGACAGATCCCAAAACCGATACCTCTAGTTGTTATCGATAATGTAATTGCCTTCAAGGTTTGTTGCTCGCTAAGGCGGCTAAGCGCATCCTCCTCGTTTGATCCAACGTACATCTTCTCTCGAATCTTCTCTTGGAGAATAGCCATAGCGTCGGCTCCTTTCGTCCTACGCATCGTGGTTACTCTTCCACGTTGGTATATTTGACGTCCTCTTGATTGACGTCCTCTTCCTCTCTGCTGGCTGGATGAAGCATTTTCATTCGGTAAAGTTTCCATAGCGTATGAGCTTAGGGGGTCTGCAATCAGGTAACCCAAAAACTGATATGATATGTATGACAATTAAGGTGTACATAGCATTTACTGTAATGTAGTAGTGTATAAAGTAGTAAACTAATTACAATCAAACGAGAAGAAAAAAAAAAACTAACTAAAGAAGGATACTTAATAATAATAATAAACTGTTTGAATTAATACTACTCTAAATCTATTTTATATCTTATTCACATTTGTTTGGGGTTAAGGTAGACGGACACAAAACATTTGTTATTTTAGTTTTAAATTCATTATACGATTGGCGAAAGATGTCAATGTCAGGATCACGAGTTTGGATACTATTATATTGGTTAAGGACTCTATTTATTGGTGAATGTTGGCCTAAATTAGTTCTTGAAAATTGTGTGTGGAATATTTTAGTTATTCTATGTCTGGGATAAGAGTGAGGAACCTTCACTGATATTTTTTCTAATAAATAATTGTACTGTATATTATTATTAATTAATTTATGAAGAAAACAAAGGTCAAAAATGCGTCTGCGATTAGAAAGAGTGGTCATGTTAAACTTGGATAGCCGTGTGTCATACGGGCTCCTATGAGAAAAACCACTGCAAGAGTAGGCAAGGTTTCTGGTAAAGGCTCTTTGAATGCTTTCAATTCTTTGGGAATGAACAGCGTACCATGGTGACTATGCAGTACTCGCAAATTCGAGAATGCTGCGGACAAGAGCATTGTACAGAAGTAATTTGGTATCTAGTTTTTTAAAATCTGAGCTATTTCTCCTCAAAAAACCAAGCATTTGTGCTGCCTTAGTTACAGTTTTGTCAATATGCGATGTAAAAGTCAGCCCTGTATCGATGATAACGCCCAAATCACGAATCTCATTGACCTCTGCTAAATAAACCCCGCCAACCTCATACTTAGTAACAAGTGGTTTTTTTTTTGCGGGTGTACTTGATGTGAAAGCATTTATTAACATTAAGCCTCATGCAGTTTACGTTGCACCAATCTAATATTGCATTAAGGTCATCTTGTATTAGTTGGGAATCACTGATTGATTTAACTGGATGGTAAATCTTAAGATCATCAGCAAATAGTGACATTTTGCAGTGCTTAATACTAGAACTTATATCATTTATAAAAATAAGGAAGAGAACTGGTCCTAAGTGGGAACCTTGAGGCACTCCAGAAACCGCATAATAGGCTCGTGACTCAAATCCGTTCACAACCACACTTTGTGGTCTATGTTGCAAATATGATTCGAACCAGTTTAACAATACCCCCCCTATGCCATAGGCATGCAGTTTTTGTAAAAGAACTTTATGATTGACCTTATCGAAAGCACAGCTAAAGTCATTATATATTGCATCTACTTGCGATCCAGCATCTACTTCTTGAGATATGTCTGAAATAAAGGTAACTAGATTTGTCAAAATTGAGCGACCGCTTCTAAATCCGTGCTGATGATCAGAAATACTAGTATTTATTAATGTTATAATTGAAGGATACAGAACAGATTCAAATAATTTTGAAAAACAAGAGAGTATGGATATTGGCCTGTAGTTAGAAACATTTGCGTGATCCCCTTTTTTAAAAACTGGTACTATACGAGCTTTCTTCCACTCGTCAGGAAATTTGCCTTCGGATATAGAACGGTTAAATATTAAGGAAAGTGGTAACGCAAGCGATTGACCACAGAGCTTAACAAATATGGGAGGGATCAAATCAGGTCCTGCACCCTTCAATCCGTCTAGTTTTTTTATTGCATTTCGAATGTCAAGCTCCGTAAACAGTACATTGACCAAATAATTATTGTTGGGAGAAGTTAATGTACAAGGGTTAATAAGAATACTATCTGAGTACACCGAACAAAATTGATCAGCAAATAAATTTGCAATATCGCTACCATTTTCTGCAACAGAATTGTTCATATGCATTTTAACTGGTAATGTTGAGCATCCACCGCGTTGGTTTTTGATGTAACTCCAAAAAAGTTTTGGGTTGTATGGTTGTAGCCGCTTTTCTTCTCAGGCGGACTACTCACCGGCTGACCCAGTGGAGAGATCTATGAGATTACCTCAGGGCGCCTTCTAAGAGAAAAGAAGTGTGTGCGTGTGGGAAACCTACGGGACTCTTTAGAGGAAAACAACTTACACCTCAGTCATACATACATGTATATTTCAAAACAAAATTAAATTTACAATAAAAAAAAATCAGAGGGTATAAAAAAAAACCGCAGCGGAGCGCGTCAGAGCCGAGCTGATGGTGCTCGGTGCCTCCTCGTCGTCCCTCCAGGAGGTTACTTCCTCTTCCGCCCGAGTCGGCTATTTATATTAGATACGGATAAAAGTTTAACAAATTACAATTATTAAGTACGTAACTCTTGGGTACGGCTGTCCGCTTGCGTCGTGAGCCGCGCAATCACCAGCTTTGCCAGAGGGTACCGAGAAACTTGAGTCTGTACCAGACGGCCACAAAAGAGCAAGCACGCCGTCTAAGACTGACTGTCTTGACCCCGAAATCTGGGACCCTACGAATGGATTAGCACTCATATAAATTAAACAGGTTCCAGAAACAAATAGGTTTAAGAAGAATTGAGAGAATACTCACCACATTAGTGGGTAGATTATAACAGACTACATATTACGAAATTCAAATTACACGACAATCAAAACACTATTTAAGGTTGGAAGACACGAGATAGCAGAGTGTCTCCCGTGGCAGAAAGCCGGACCTATATATCCTCGGTTCAGGAATCTTCCAGAAATTAACCCCTCCTCATCATTTCACTTTGACATTTACATTGAGAAAGAAAACAACGCTAACAAAATCAAAAGTAACTTGCTTTCCACCATAGCTGAACACTCTCAACACCTACACAATTTGACATGACAGAATAACAAAACAGATTATAAAGTAAGTCTTTTTAATTAAACTATCATGTCTCAAACAAACGCCATCTAGTGGTCCGAAAGTGAACAAAGGAGATCAATACCGTAGCTACAAACTACTTTAGATAAATCAACAGCAAAGCGATGCGGCCAAACAGGTGCCGCTTTTATCAATATCGTACGTATCACAAATGCACAAAAAAAATAACTGTTACATGGTATATTCGATTCTATTGTGCATTTATAATTATTATAACATGTATCAAAGAGCCTATGACAGCGATTTCGGAGTAAATGAAATTCGATTTCATCCCGCGGATTACCATATTTTCTGTATTTTTTACGGACTTTCTCCTTTTCATTTATGAGCTTGATTAATGAATTACTAAACCACGGTGGATAACGTGCTTTAGTGGCCTTCTTGATTGGTACATATTTAGAAATTAGCTGTCTTAAAATTGTATAGAATTCACTCACCATGTCATTAACATCCTTACAATGTTTAAATACATTATACCAGTTTACATTATTCAAATTTCTATTAATATTTACATAATCAGTCTTATAAAAATTATATTTGGCTATGGGATTGGCAACAAGATATTTAACATTATCGTGGTAAGTAATATTCACTAACAGACCAGGATGTATTTGGTAACTCTTACTTAAGGAACATAAGGGCTTTGTTACATATGTCTTTGGTATATTACTGAGTACTAGATCTAATAAACGACCATCATTATTCTTAACAGAATTAAATTGTAACAAGTTGTTTGACAACATAAAGTCTATAAGCGAGTATCCTAAACTTACATTATAATTATATGGAGTCATGTGAGTACAATCACTATCAGAGCGCCAGTCGATGAAACCGAGATTAAAGTCCCCAATTACAATGACGTCATTACTGTCGTTCATTACGTTGTCAATGGAGTTTAATATTTTTGACAACTGGTTTAGTTTAACAGGTGGAGGCAGGTAGACTGCACAGATTGAAAGTTTTTTTATAGTGTGCTTTAAAGGAACCTCTACTGTGACCCACATAACCTCAGAATCATTACTTTCCCAATTTTGTACCCTAACAGAAGAAAGTTCCCGTGACACCGCAATCATAACCCCACCACCATCTTTTTTAGTATTTTGCGAACATATTCTATCCTTACGGTAAACAACATATCGACTATCAAACAACTCGGCGTTGGATATGCTTGCATTTAGCCATGTCTCTGTAAAAACAATAATCTTATAATTAGAGATAATAACATTTTTATATAAATCTGCAGTCTTTGTCCTTAGTCCTTGCACATTTTGATAATATATATCAAGCATTTTTAAAAACAATTATCCAGAACATTCGTAACAAACACTTGGGGAGAATTTATTTAATAAGGTTAAGACTATCTTCACTCCTAATAGATATAGCTTGGTGGTTTTCGTCTTTACGCACATAAACCCGTCCGTTACGAACCCATACAAACTTGTACGACAACTCTTTAGCCTTTTTCCGTGCAGCAGCATGCAGGTGCTTATTGCTTGGGGTCAGATGCTCGCTGACAAAAACCGGCGGTCGAGTACCGCCTATACCAAGGTGACTGGTGCTGAGTTTGTCCTGGGGATTCTGCTTATTAAACTTCGTTACTGCAGCTAGTAGTATATCTCGGGTACGAGGGTTTCGCAACTTCGCGACTATGGCATGTGGTCTTTCACTGTCTCTGGATAATTTTGCGACTCTGGTTACTTGGTGGATATCATCAGAAGATAACGGACTTTCAATTACTTTTGTCAGTTGGACTATGGTATTGATGAGATTTTCCGATCTGTTTTCAGGAACGCCATTAACCTCAACATTGCATTCTCTCATATGTAATTCAGTTGAACAAAGCCGCCCTGTTAAGTCACTAACAGTAGTCTTTAGTCTTTCATTGTCCCTTTTCAGCTCATTCATGCAGGAGATAGTATCATCAAGGCGCACTCTTATGTCTTCATATTGCTTACTTAGGAATGTCATAGATTCTTGATAGTCAGTAATTTTATCATATATAGTTTTGAATTCGGTAGTTATTAATTGCTTAATTGTGGATTTGATCGTAGAAGAAATTTCATCTTTCAGTA